GGGGGGGGTGTCCTTTACCGTACGCTGAGATTCAGACTCTGATCAGAGTGATGAACCCCTCCACCGCTGCAGCAGATTGAAGTTAACTACAAGGGCTGATTTAAAGGTTTATACATCAACACTGAGCCATATCTGTCTTCCTGTCAGCAGTGTGAACCCGGGAAATGTTGGGTATCCCAAAGTGTTATTTTAGAAACGAATAGCATGGGTCCCCAGAACAAAGAAACTGACAGATGCTAACTCGCATGTTGGGCAACTTGCACATTTAGCATCAGTTTCATTCAATTGCATTATGTGGAAAATAGTACAAAAATGGCTCTGCCGATTCTAGCATTCCCCAATGTTTTTTTTAGGGGTGATTGAGGATACAATTTCTGCCATCTTTGTGCCCCCGATGGGCTGATCTTGACTACCATGAGAAGTGCTGCGACCAGTGGAAATAGAGAGCACAAGAAGAGAACGATAACCTCTACTGGGGACAATTATCTTTCAAATACATAAGCAACCTGCCCAATCCAAATGATCCAGAGTCCCATAGATCTTCAAAAAACAACCCAAATTTAATCAAAATTTACGGAGAGTAAATTGCCATTTTCTGGTTAAAACTGCCTTTGCTGATCATGAAAATGTCCAGAATGGGCAAGCCATTTTCTAACCGATTGTCTGCATGCAAATGTGTGCAAATTGCCCAACATATGCAAGTTAGCAGTTAGTTATCATCAAGGCTGTGTGGTACTTAACATTTCCGGGTTCACAATAGGGAGCGGTCAACTAGACTATAGAGAGAAGTGTTTCAGCCACAGCCAACAGTACAGTCTACACAGTGGGAGCTTCACATTTGAACTACAGATGTATTCTGAAACACGTGACCGCTGTAGCAGTGATTCAATGAAGAGATTTAGCGAGCTGATTTTTGATATTTCACTCAAATTACCAAAAAAAAATAGCCTCTCTTAGATGTGAGAATCTATGTGTGAGGATTAATGTTGAAAAATTCACAGGGTTTCCTTGCCCGCCACCCCCCCCTTCACGAGGCTGGAGCATGAAAGGCATGCTAACTGTTTATTAACCACACCATCAGACCCTCATTCACAGGATGTGTGAAGATGGACACGCAAGGGGTCCTATAGTTCCCACTGTGTGTCTTACAGACTGCTACACGTCATACTGCTGGCTGCCCTGGCTGGGGGGAGGTATAGGTGTTGGAGGGGTTCCTTCCTCAGAGGCGGGGCGAGGAGGTGGAGGAGCCGCCGCGTTGGGGTTAGATGCTTCCGGAGCCGCAGGGGGATCAGGGGCTGCTGCTCCGGGGGCGCTGTCTGAGGGAGGGGGGGGCATGCTGCTGCTGTTGCTGTCGTCACTGCTCACAGGGGTGCTGCTCTCCCTGGGGGGCTCAGGGGGAGGCGAGGCTTTATCAGAGGGGGGGTCAGACGGGGGAGGTGGAGCAGGCTTGGGCTCGGAGGAGGGCTCTGCGGGCTCTGCTTCATCTGTGGGTTGGGGGTAAAGGTTTGATTTAGATCAGAGTTTGAACACTTTTAATATTGGAAACAAACACAGCAGCACACTCTGGATGTCAGGTTTCTTTTTTAAGGGTTCAGCAATATCCATACACAAATGAATTTAAAATGTTCAAAAGCGTTAAGTACCTGTCTCCATGGGTGTGGGCTTGTCCTCCTCCTTTGTCCCTGAGGTTGTATTAGCTGTGCTGCTCGCATTATCGCTGCTCTGCTCTGCTGCTTTGTTCCCGGCAGCCTCCTCCTGCTGCTGCTGCTGCTGCTGCTGCTGCTGCTGCTGCTGCGCCTGCTGAGCAGCTTTCTCCGCCTGCTCCGCCGCCTCCCGCTCCCTCTCCTCCGCCCGGCGCCTGGCCGCTTCCTCAGCAGCAGCCATCTCTGCTGCCAGCTTCTCCATGTCCACCTCCACCTTCTGACTGCACAGCTGGAGACACACAGAACACAGATCAAACCACGGCTTCCAAAAAACTCAATCTACAAATCAATCGAGATTTAATGCAAACGTGTTTATTAAGTCTTAAACCCTCTTCTTTTGTTTTTAATATATCAGAATGCAAGACTTCAATGCTAACAGTAATCATATGTCGTGTTGCAGTGATGACGTATTTTTGAAGGCCGAAGCAGAAGTTGGCACCAGAAAAGGCTCCCGGACTAATGGCAATGGGATTTATCTATTGGATTCAGGAATTCCATTATGGAATAACACATGTTTAGGATACTTACACGTTTGCTCAGCAGCATAATCTCCTCATGTTAACACCACTTTGATACTAGTTGAAGGTAAAACGCTTATGCTAGGCTATAAAAAGGAACTACATCATGGTCACAGGAGTTCACGTCATCATCGCTAAGCTAAAGGTGGCTAATGTGCAGAATGATGACGTTCGATCATCTCATTCAGCCACTTTTAAAAAGGTTTTTTCCAGTAGGGTATTTACTGATGTAATACATGTAGGCTTCTAATCAAGCCTACGGTTTCAGGACCTGCACTACTCCATTTATTTCAGGGGTAAATGACCAGCATGCATCTGTGGTTATACATCGTTTTTGCCCGCCACTCGGCCGTATCTCGATAGAAAATGTGCTGCTGTACCCTCTTGAGTTCAGTGTTGAATGAGTCGGTGGTCTCCAGGAAGCGTCTCTTCTTGTCTTGGTGGCGATCCTCGATCTGCAGAAGTTCTGCCTCCAGCTTCCTCTGAAACACAAAGGAAATCACAGGTGAGTCTCTGAAGTGCATTTGACATTTGTTCACCAACATTCCGCTAAAACATAATGATTAGAAGAGGCCTCCCTGAAGCAGAGAGTATGTCTGTAGAACCTACCTGGTGCACCATGAGGGACTGGACCTGCCTCTTCAGGACCTGCATGCGGGCGGTGGTGACCACGGAACGGACATCGGGGACAACAATTTCACTGAGGATGTCGCTGATGAGCCGGTGGTTCCTCTGGAAGCGAGCGGCTGCCGTGTGCTTCACCGAAAAACCATCATCATAGTCTAGACAGAGGAAAGGGGAAGCAGGTTAAAGAGGCCATATAATGCTTTTTGGGGTTTTCTGTTTCCTATAGTGTGTTCTATTGGTTTTTATGTCAATGGTCTGCAAAGGCTATAATCTCTAGAGGGAGTTTCTCTCCCACAAAACTAAAAACTGTGCTTTCTCATTATAAATGTGATTTTAAGCCATTACTGAACAGCTTTATTGGCGGCTGTGGTTTAGTAGGCACTATGGTCCTCCACCAATTGGATGGTCAGTGGTTTGACTCTCAGCCCCTGCAGTCAACATGGCGATGTGTCCTTTGGCCAGATACTAAACCCAAAATTGCTCCAATTGGCCAACGGTCTGTAAATGTGTTTGAATGTTAGTCTCCTGGGCAGGTGGCACATTCTATGGCACACTGTCTCTGTATGAATGTGTGTGAATGGTTAAATGCTGACTTATTTATGTAAAAGCAATTTGAGGGCTCCAGAAGCGCTATCTAAATGTAGTACATTTTTACCATGAATAAATGCCTTGCAAACTCACCATCAGGGTCTTCAGCTGGCTGGATGCTCATGTACGGCTCTCCTTTATCCATACGAGTCTGCCTCTGCCGGCTCTCCTCCTCCATCGCGGCCTCAGCCCGGTTCTTAGCGTTGACGTAGGCCAGGTACACCGGCGAGTTGTGGTAGGCCTTCAAAGACTCGTTATACTCAATCTGAGTTGGGGAGAGGGAAAGAGTTAAAAAAAACAAGCTGAGCAGGACGATGCCACTTCCTGCCTGGACCGTTGTAGTTTTCTATTAGAAGATATTTGCACTGTTTATTTTCTTACAGCAATTAAAAGGTTATTCAACTAAATATGTGATCCATTTTGATTGTTTAAAGCTTCTTCTGGTTTTGGCTGAGGTCGTCCCCCTTCCATCCAATCGTAAATAGCCTGGACTAAATATACACAAATAAAAATCCTATGAGAACCTCTGTGGTAATTGGGACACTTCCGGGTTCTCACCTTCTCAGCTTCGTACTCATTCAGGTAGTCCTGCTTCTCCTCATCCGTCAGGTCTCTCCACATCCCTCCGATAATCTTTCCAATCTCCCACAGCTTCAGGTCTGGGTTGGAGGCCTTCACTTGGTCCCATACCTTTTGTTTGCATATGAACGCAAGATGCAAACACAAAAAATACATATGGTCACCACAGGGCAACTGCACTAAATGCTAAGTTAGGTAACTACAAGATAGTGAACAAAATAAGGGAGGAAAAGTGCAAAGGAAAGAGGAAATAAGCTCCCATATTATGAATCTACTGGTAAAGGTTATATCTAGCATTAAAAAGGTAAAGCCCCTTTTGTATGGCTAAAAGGTTGGATGGAATGAAATGTATCTAAAGACAGAATCTCATGTTTTAAGTCAAATGATTTTTGAGCAGATTTTGTCTTTATGCCATTAAAATGTTTAAAAACTAGAGAAGCAGCAAAGCGAATACAGGGGGAAATGAAGCCAGAGGCAGATCATGCTATCAGAAGGGAATACAGGGAGATGTATTTTCTTTTTTTAATGGTTGACAAACACAGGAGGCTACTTAGAGCCAACAGAGTGGAGAGGCACCACTGGGTGGTTTGAGGTGGTGGTGGAGGTGTCATGGCTTGGCTGTTTCCCCCCCTAACACCCCTGCAACTGTTCAGGGGATGGGAGGACAAGCAGTAAAAGCAGACACCGTGGATGGGTGTCTTACCTTCCTGCTTACCTTCCGGCTGTACCGCATGTAAGGCATCAGGGGCTTGTCTGGAGGTTTTGGGGGCTTTGGTACGGTGATCCCAGAGGAGGTCTGTGGAAGGGAAGGAAAAGAGAAAGGGCCGTTGATGGGTGTCTTTACCTTTCCTGCTTACCTTCCGGCTGTAACGCATGTAAGGCATCAAGGCGGCCTTGCTGGAGGTTTTGGGGGCTTTGGTACGGGTGATCCCAGAGGATGGTCTGTGAAAGGGAAAGGAAAAGAGAAAAGGGAAATCGGCACAAGAAGGGGGGGGGTTTTGAAAGAAGGAGGGAGAGAAGGGAAGTGATAAAAAAGGGACAAAGGTTTGGAGAGAGAAACAAAAGAAAATACTGTCATTAAACATGATTTCATTCTGAGTTGTGTAGGTAAGCAGGGCATACATGTGGTCAAGGGGTCTTGAAGATTTTCCTACTGCTGGATAAAAGCTTTTATGATGCAGGTTCATTCATTTTTGGCCATGCTTTAATGCATTGCAAGGGAAGGGAAAATGATATTGGTATTCAGTTACCACTGCATCTGGGAGACTAGGCAGATTACATCCAGCAGATTTAAATAAATTACAATGTTTTTTTTAATAAAACATTACCACAAACAAGTGTACAAATATTTAGAACATTCACACGTGTAATGCCCAGGGCAAGCTGATCTACTTGTCATGACAATATCAAATTCTATATTTAATTTTTACAATTTGAAAGTGGTGCACAAGTCTAAAAAGGGTGGAAAAGTTATGTCCATACTTTAACAGTGTTGCGCCATTTATGGAAAGGCAAAAGAACGGATAAATAAATCATATTTTTATAAATGTGACCCACAGGTGACAGATTAAAGGGTTGTACAGAGCTTGATTTGTCCGAAACAAAAATATGGATGAAAATGTATTATAAAATGACAAAAGGATTTATTTGATTAGTTCATAAATGTTTTACCGTCCTGGTTGGTGAAGGCTCTTGCTGATTTTTTGCAGAATTTTTTTTATCTTAAGAGTGGAATTTTAACACTTGAAAAAAAAAAAAGAAAAGATATTTGGAAAGGGAAAAAATAAAACAAACTGTCGCATGTTTTTTTAAGTGATTTTAGGCCAAATTAAATAGAAATAATAAATAAATAGAAAGTTAAATCACAATGATTGTATATGTTTCCTCCAGTATTTAAGTACGTTTGGTGAACCAGACTATCTTACTTAATATCCTGTTTGCATTGAAAAGTCTAAATTAGTCAGAATAATTTGATTATGTTTTAAACTATTTTTTCCTACAAAAAAAACAACTCTAAAATAACCATGCTTCAGGCCATTTAGCAAAAATAATGTATGCTTTGAATTAAATATACAGCTCTGGAAATCAAGAGACCACTGCAGCATCAGATTCTTGTTTCACAATTTATAGGTATGTGTTTGGGTAAAATGTACATGTTTCATTTTTATTCTATAAACTACTGACAACATTTCTCTGTGTTGGAATTCAACATACACTGGAATGGAATGGCTGCCATACTTGTAGAGATTGTGAGTAAAGAAACATTTGGAGTGGTCTCTTCATTTTCTCCAGAGCTGTAGCTCAATGATTGCACTTAGCAACCTAACAATAATACCAAACAATGGAGTGTGGTGTTACACTGCATAGAAATGCTATTTCCCATCTGTTGTAACCCTCCCTCCTGGCGCTTTCTTTAAAGAAGCCTATTCTATTCATTCTCGGGTTCATAGTTGTATCATTTTCAAAAAGCTCTTCCTCATACTGCCTGTGCTCAAGCACCTCTTTTCACCCTCTGTCTGAAACCAGAGCCCAGTCTTTTCCGATTGGTTGGTTGGCTGGCTGGCTCTGTTGTAATTGGTCAACCACTTGAGATGTCTTGCCCCTTAGCCTATCACGTACAATGTGTTGGAACGCTAGCTAATTAAAGGGCAAGTGTAACATAGTGATGACACTATAGGTGCTTTCACACCGGAGTACTTTTCCCTTTTAGTTCCGATAGTTCCTGGGATTTTGCGTTCACACCAAAAAGAGAACTTAGTTCATGAGAACTTTTCCCCCCTTTTTAGTCCCTGCTAGAGAGCAGGTACTTTCCTGGGGAGAAAAAGTTCCAATTTCTGATTGAAAAGTTTTGTGAAGCCGCCATTGTATTTTCTGGCATTAGCATTAGACCAGCGTACCAACGGAGAGAGAATAACTTATGGCAACACATAAAAAAACATGGGAGCGGTGGAGTGATGAGGAGGTTTCGGCGCTTCTGGCGATTTACGCAGCGTCCACACGGCGGCGTGCGTTGAAGCTTGCCGTCGGGCGTGTCTGAAACTCCATCAACAACCAATCACATGAATCTCCCGCCCCGGACACACAAGCACGCGGTTTGATTGGCTAGAGCTTGTACTGGCATATGATTCGATTGGCTGACGCTTCCGCCGAAGCTTCAAAAGTTGAACATTGCTCAACTTTTGAAGCGAGCAACGCTCCCACAATGCAGTTCGGCAAAGCGTGACGTAACCCCATTCAAAGTGAATGGGCAGAAGCGTTGAAGCTTCAACGCACGCCGCCGTGTGGACAGGCCGTTACTCGGAAGGCTAAGCCAGTCCCTAACTCCGGGGACTTCCGGCCGGGGACTTCGGGTGGCAGTATACACCGTGAAGTGGTTTGCGGCCTGCCAGTAAACCCAAAGCAGAAGAAGAAGAAGTGAAGTCAGCGGCTTCATTTGCGTAATCAACCCTCAGGGACGTATTCCGGTGTGAACGCGATCTGCTCTTTAGTTCCATGGGGGAACTAAGTGCTGGGAACTAAGTACGGCAAAGTACTTGGTGTCAAAGCGGATTATGATACAGAAGTAAACAAAGGAGTCTATGGAGGCGTTTCAGTCAGGGGGATGTTTTTTTTTTGCCATTTACTTGCACAAAAACGTATTTGACATACTAAAGGAAAGAGAAAACCCCAAAAAGCAGAATAGGGCCCCTTTAA